GTACGTACACCCCAGCTTCCCGCGGAAAGCGCCGACAGATTCGACTCTGTCTGCATTTCCAGTAATACTCTGTGCTGCACTTTTATTTTAATTAAAAAGAAAGTTGAACTCAGCCTCTGGAGAGCTGCAAAGAACGGCTTCTGTCTGCTGCTGCTGCTGCTGTTGCTGCTGCTGCTGCTGCCTGAAGAGCTGCAGCTGAGGAGCAATAAGGCCGCCGGAGCAGCCTGGCAACTATTAGGACAAGAAGTGACACTATTTGCTGCACTTGCTGCTAAGAAATGGCACTATTTGCTGCACTTGCTGCTAAGAAATGGCACTATTTGCTGCAGTTGCTGCTTGAGTTGTCAACTAAGCTTGAGAGTCTGCAGCTGCTGCTGCGGCCAGCCCGCAGCAGCAGCTGCAGTTTGCTGCTAAGCCGCAGCGGCCAGCCTGCAGCAGCAGCTGCAGTTTTGCTGCTAAGCCCACAGCAGCAGCTGCAGTTTTGCTGCTGCTCACTGCCACGGGAAAGTGTGGGGAAGCAGCAAACAAATGGCCCTGCGTGTCTAGACACTGCAGGCGTTGCTGCTGCTCCGGCTAGTCCCGCCCCTCTTCCTGCTGCAGCAGCAGCAGCTGCTGCAGCAGCAGCAGCTGCTGCTGCTGCAGCAGCTGGCGCCGCAACGCCAGCGGCAAATGCGGGGGCGGCCGCTGCTGCCCAGCGCGTCCACTGCATGCGGGCCCTTCCGAAGAAAAGATTTAAAATTAAATTAAATAATTAATTAATTAATTAATTAATTAATTATTTAATTAATTAACTGGTTAATTAATTAACCAATTAATCAATTAATTAATTACATTAATTAATTAATCAATTAGTTAGTTTAATTAATTTATTAATTAATTAATTAATTAATTAAACTAATTAATTAATCAATTAATTAATTAATTAATTAGTTAATTAATTAGTTAATTAATTAGTTAATTAGCCCCCCCTCAGCTGAAAGCCGCAGGAGGCATCCCGTGGAAGGCCTGCCGAATGAGTTCTTTTTGTTTGGCATTTATTTGTTTGGGATATTTGACTTTGACGGAAATGAACAAATCTCCGAAAGTTTCGGACTTGTGTTTTTTTGGCATTCCTTTTCCCTTGATTCTGAGGACTTCTCCGTCTCTGGTGACTTCTCCCCGCTGCACTTTTATTTCTTTTTTGTCCAAGTGCTCGAACTTCACTTCAAATCCAACTAAAGCTTCTTTTAAGTCGATCTGCAATGTCATGTGCAAGTCGTCGCCCTTCCGGGTGTACCTACACCCCACGCATGCAAAACGCATGCAAAACGCATGCAAAACGCATGCAAAACGCATGCACCAAATGCATGCACCAAATGCATGCACCAAGTGCATGCGGAAATTGCTTTCTTTCCTTATTTTCCGCAACTTAAATGCTGCTGCTGCTCAGTTTTAATTAACTGAACTTTTGCAATTCATTCGAACTAATAATCTCCAAACTTTAAAACTTCTTCCCTTTTGCTGCTGCAGTGCATGCGCTGGGGGCCCCACTCTAGCTTCGGCCATTTCTAAAAGCTATTCAAGCGGCCTGGCTTGCTGCAGCAGCAGCAGCAGCTGCTGCTGCTGCAGCAGCAGCTGCTGCTGCTGCAGCAGCAGCTGCTGCTGCTGCAGCCGCTGCTGCTGCTGCAGCAGCCTGCACCCTAACCCCTAAACCCTAAAGCCCAACCCCCCCCCAGCCCCGCCGCAGCAGCTGCAGCAGCAGCCCCCGCACCTGCAGCAGCAGCGCCTGCACCGCAGCAGCAGCAGCAGCAGCAGCAGCAGCAGCAGCAGCAGCAGCTCACCGGTGGTGCGGCAGCTCCTCAATAACCAACACCAAGTCCCCCGGCTCGTGGCCTATTCTGTGTTCTCCCATTCCTTCAAAAACAATTTTGTCTCCAGACTTCATTCCCCTTTCCACTGCTGCTGTCAGCTCTATCGACTCCAGCTCCGTCACCCCGCTCGGACACTCCTGCAGCCAAACCCTAAACCCTAAACCCTAAACCCTAAACCCTAAACCCTAAACCCTAAACCCTAAACCCTAAATGCTGAGCCCGAAGCCCCAAACCCTCGAGCCCCCCCACCACGCTTTCAGCACTGCGCCGCAAACCCCAGCCCCCAAAGCGCAAGGCCCAAGCCCCAAGCCCCAAGCCCTAAACCCTAAACCCTAAACCCTAAATCGTGGTTTGTGCGGACTTTGCATCCGCGGATCCAGGCCTTTCCCTGGTCCACGCAGGAAGGGTCTTGGACTTGGTTTTGAACGATAAAGCCGGGGCCCATCTGCTGCGTAAAGAGGCGAACTCCGGGGCCCTTGCAGTCCTTTTGCTGCTGCATGCAGTCTTCTGCATTAATGCAGAGAACTGGCCGCGAGAAGCTGAACTGCAGCAGCACGCCGTCGTAGAGCTGCTGCAGCGCAGCAGGAAGCTGCAGCACGCTGCTGGGGGCTTGCGGGGTTTCCCGCGGAACCCCCCGGCCCCCAAAACCCCCAAACCCTCCAAACCCTCCGAAGAACTCCGAGAACACATCGAAGGGGTGGCCCGAGTCCTGCCCCGCGCCCTGCTGCAGCCTGCGCAGCAGCAGCAGCAGCAGCAGCAGCAGGTGCAGCGGGAGCTGCAGCGGGAGCCGCGGCAGCAGCAGCAGGTGCGGCAGCAGCAGCACAGCAGCAGCAGCAGCAGCAGGCGCGAAAGCAGCGGCAGCAGGCGCAGCAGAAACACAAACAGCAGCAGCAGCAGCAGCAGCAGCAGCAGCAGCAGCAGCAGCAGCAGGCGGCGCACCGCTCCAAGCCCGCGTGGCCCTGGGTGTCGTAGACTTTTCGCTTTTCTGCATTGCTGAGGACTTCGTAGGCGTAAGAGATTTCCCTGAACTTGGCCTCAGCGTCGGGGCTTTTGTTTTTGTCGGGGTGGAACTTCATGGAGAGCTTTCTGTAGGCTTTCTTGACTTCGGTGGGCGAGGCGCTGCGCTGCAGCCCGAGCGTGGCGTAGAGGTTTCCGGGCTGCGAAGGCTCAGCAGCAGCAAAAAGGAAATTCCAAACTTGAAAAGAGTGCGGGGGAAAGCAGAAGAAGCAGCCGGAGAGAGCCAGCGCGGCCGCGGCCGCGAGAACTCGCGCCGCGCTGAGCAGACCCATCGCGCGGAATATTTCGGGATTCCACGGAGAAACTCGGAATCTTTTGCCGCGAAATTCACAGCATTAAACCCAACTGCAAAGCCAGCGAGCCAAAAACGAGCAGAAAGCTCTAAAAAGGAACGGATCGCCGCCGCCGCCAAACGCTCACGCCCGCGAAACTCCGCACGAAAAACCCCCGACGCCCGCCGCAAGCCGCGCCAGCCAACTCGCCAGCTCTGCAGCTCCACTTGCAAAATGCGCGGAGTTTATTCTTGAATTCAAACGCAGAAATTCAGACACGTCGATGCAAGAAGAACCGCATGCACGGCGAGACGCCAAACTCAGCCGGCCAGCGCCAGGAGAGATCCGACCTCCTCCTGTCTGGCCTCCTATTTGGGAAAAACAAATTATTTAAATTCATTACAAGCGCAAAAAAATTCTACATTAGTTCGCCGCTAATGTTCTGCGGCCTACAGACAAACAAGCCCCAACGCACGACAGAAACACGAACGGCTGCTGATGCAGGGCCGAACGCTCATCACCCCCATTTCCCAAGGCGAAAGCACTTACCACAAATCAAAGCAATTAAAAAACAAAATGAAATATTCAAAATAGGAACGCAATCGCAGCCAATTTGTGGGGGGATCGCGAGGCCTGCTGCTCCCACGCACAGCGGCGGGAGGAAAAGAACTGCGACACCCTACGCACACCTGCAGCATGCACTGCAAAGACTAAAACTTTTCTTCTTTGATTCATTTAAAACTCCAAAATCCGTTCCAAATGCATATAAGAACCAAAACCAAAGCCTTCTAGACGCCGTTTCCCAAGCTGGCAGCGGGCTGCGCCTGCAGCGTTAGCATACTCAGCTTCACAACAGAAATGGGATTTCAAGGCACTGCTGAGGAAGGTAAAAGACGACACTTTTCACAAAAGACATTAAAAAAAGAAGAAAGCAAGAAAACTAATTAGGCGTGTGGGGGAAGAGAAGAAAGCCTGGATGGGACATCTTGCACACTTAGTTGCATATGCTTCCAAATGAAGCAACAGGGTGTTGCCTTTTATGAGCAATAAGGAATGAAGAATAAAGATCTAAAAGCTGTGAAAAGAATTACGGAGGGATTTTCTGCATTCGACACTTGATATTAGATCTGAGTTTGAATCTGAATGCAAAAACTTCCGTGGCCCTTCTGTATCTTCCGAAGAAGTTTCTTCCCTTGCCCTTCTGTGCCTTTCAAAACAAATTGTTTACCGATTATGTACGTCCCAAAACAAGTTATGTTTCAGTTTTTCATGACCCAGAACAAGTTGTTTCTCAATTGTGGCTCTCTATTGTCCTTAAGTTGCCGTTTTGCATTTAAAAAGGACAGAAATCATGCAAATAAGATCTAATTTCGAAGCGCTGAGATCCACAGGCTCATTGCAGACTTTCTTGGCTTTTTTTTTGCTTAATAGGTTTCTTAAGCAGCCAGGCGCTTAGGCTGGGCCGCCCGAAACTAACTTCAACTTCTGAACTTAGTGCAGCTCTTCACGTTGAAAAATTGACGAGATAATGTGAAATTTAGAAAATAAAAAAGGAATTGTGACGAAGTTAATCTTAAATATGCTGTTTGGCTGGTGAGACTTCCCGGCATTTGAAAATATGAAGAGGCTTCGCCTCTGCAATGTGAAAGACGAAAGTGACCACACAGCCTCTTGCTCGACAGAAAAAACGAGTTTCCCTCAAACTTTGGAATTAAATTCAATGAAATTATTATTTAAATCATCATTAGTTGCATAG